CCAAAAAGAACAAGCAGTATAAAGGTTCTGAGGCCCCGTTTGATTCTAACAAAACAGTCTTGTGAAAAACATAATACCCCTTTTAGTAGGTAGCAAACTGTTACAGGGTGACTTGAGCTAGGGAGTGGGGCTAGTATATAATAAAGCAAGACCTAGAAATTGGGGTTTCTTGACTCTTGATCTAGTGCCCTCTTTCTTACAAAGCACTGTATAAATGTAAAGCTACATTGCTGTTGTGGTTTTTGCTAAATAATTACTATTAATCAATTCCATTGATAAGTCCTTTTCTGCATTTTTCTCTGACATAGTTGTATATATTTTGGGGTACATGTGATATTTTGATACCTTTATCTTTTGTATTGAGAATATTACAATTCCTGCCTTTGTATTTTGAAATTATAAATTATTATGAACCATAAATTCTCCACTATATTACAGAATACTACAATTTATTCCTCCCAATATTTCTCAGAGGTAGGTATAGCTCACAGAACAATTTCATTTTCCCTTCTCATGGCTTCTCTTTCCCCTTTATCTGTGCTTCTTTTCTTGGATGGATCATTTTGAGATCAGATTACCAGTTAAGGTAATTATACTTCTTTGGATCTTTGATAATGAAAAGGTGTCAAGCATAGGAATAAACTATAAAATAGAAACCACTTGTGACCTAACATGAAAAGAGCTAAGGGAAGAAAGGAGAGAATGTGGAGCCCAGTGATTTGGACAGATAACCACATTTTTCAAGAGAGATAAGTAGTAAAAAAGTTAAAAACAAAAACCACCAAAGAGGAAACTTGTAAAAAAAAAAAAAAAAGACAAAAATGGTAGAAAGGGGGCTGAAGAAGACAGGAGGAAGAGATTTTATCATGCTTTTAGGTAAACATACGATAATATTAGACAATAAGCAACATACAAGAAAAAAGAAACTAAGAATCAGATTTCAGACACTGTAGACAGAAGAGCTGGTGGAATTACTAACAGCAAAAGGAACAGAGAGGAAGGAGAGTCTGAAAGATGAGTAGCTTTCTTTTTGTAATGCTGGGTTTAAGGTGGCAGTGAGGCTCTCACTAGTGGAAAGGGTCTAGTAGATAAGGAGTAAATTTGAAAGACGTATACTGTCTTGAGCAGTCTGATCTAGTACGGTAGCCTCTAAACACATGTGGCTACTGAGCAAGTGAAATGTGGCTGGCGTGAACTGCGATGTGTTCTAAGCATGAAATACATACTCTGATGATTTTCTATTAAAAAAAAATAAAAAGAATGTAAAATATCTGTAACTTTCTTTTTTGCCTTGATTATATGTTTGAAAAAATACCTGCATTGTCAGGCTATATAAAATACATTGAAATTAATTTCACTTTTTAATGTGAGTACTAAACAATTAAAAATTACACATGTTGTTTACCTTATACTTTTATCAGACAATGCTGATATAGAGCAATACTGCGTAGATATTAAGATCCCATAAGGGAAGAGAGGTATGAAGTGAATCAGACACACTATTCTTCAATGTCTCAACTGAAGAGAGATATGGGAGAAAGAAAGAACACATCATTATAAAAATAGTTAAGATTTACTAAGCACTCTAAGGCTAAGCTGGACAAGTAAAAATGCATCATTTGTCCCTCCCAACAATCTTATGAAATAATACTGTCTTTTACAGAAGAAAATAATGAGACCCAAGTTCACAGACTTAAATGCTGATGTTGGATTCAAACCCATGAATGATCCCAGATGTCAAGTTCTAAACTGCCACAGCAATCCCAGAGCAAGCTATGCTGTGTAGTTAGATTTTAAATACTATATTTAAACTAAAAATTTGTTACAATGGGTCACTATTAGTGATGTCAATTTGATAAGAAAAAACTACAAATGAGTACATTTGTAACTTTTTTTCTTTTTGAGACAGAGTTTTACTCTGTCACCCTGGGTAGAGTGCTGTGGCATCATCATAGCTCACTGCAACCTCAAACTCTTGGGCTTCAACAATCCTCTTGCCTCAGGCTCCAGAGTAGCTAGGACTATAGGTACCTGCCACAGTGTCAGGCGAATTTTTCTATTTTTAGTATAGATGGGGGTCTCACTCTTGCTCAGGCTGGTCTTGAAAGCTCAAGTTTAAGCAATGCTCCAGCCTCAGCCTCCTGGAGTGCCACCACCTTGCCCTTGCCCAGCCAAATGTGTAACTTTTGAATTGTGAGCATATTGTCACATGTTGGGCTGTTAAAAAGTTTCAACTTTCTTTCTCTTTATCAATTCTATTCTTAAAAAATTCCAACACATCAGGCGGTGTCTGTGGCTCAATGAGTAGGGTGCCAGCCCCATAGAACCAGAGGTGGTGGGTTCAAACCTGGCCCTGGCCAAAAATTAAAAAAAAAAATCTATGTAACACATCAGGCTAGGTGGTACCTAACTGACCAACAGCTGATCACTGGCATGATCTGGAACAGAATGGCTCTGCTTTCTAAACATGATAGATACATGATATGGATCCACTTGACAAATGTTTAAGTCTCTTTCAGACCATGAAACCTCCCAAACTGATTAAAATGTTTTGAAGGAAGCCTGATTAAATAGCAACCTTTGGTTGAAGAACTAAAAATTAAGCTTACCCAACTGGATACTTTAAAAATGGATTTTATACTCCTCAAAAATCGTATACTTTTGAGGAACAGAAAGAAAAATAAAGCTTGATACTTTGGAATCCTAACAGTAAAATCTCCTACAAATATAAGCTATAATCAAAAGAATAAGGTATCTTTCATTTATATTTGGTTGGTTGGTTTTAATTTCAAAGACAAACTTATCTTCCTTTCCTTTTTATCCTTAATTTCTCCCATCTATCTGGACATGCTGGTAATCACAGAACTGCTGAACTCGTGTAACCACAGCTATCATCGCATCATTTTCAAAAACGTGTTCATGTAAACTTTATTAAGGAGCTTGTCTCCAATGGTAAAAAACATACTTCTTAGACTAATTAAAAATACCCACTGCCATAAATTTACATTAGGGAAATGGAAAAAACAAAAGGAAATTTGAAAAAAAAATATTTAGCATGGAATAATAAGAGTAATTAGCAGAGGTATATAGTTCATATTGGACACAGATTTATAAAGGACTCTCTGAACTAACCTACTAATTTACTAATTCAATTCCCTACCCTTTCCACTTCCTGCCCCACTTTAAAAAAAAGGTATATGATTTGAATATAAACAATAATCTCCACTGAAGACTCAAAAGTTTCTGAGAAATGCTTATCTAAAGAAGTATCACAATTGTATAGGATAAAGCTTATAAAAGCTTGCCTCTGATTTGGGTTAAGGTTGATGCCCATGACTTTCCATTCAGTTAAGGAAGTATCATTGGACTTGTTCTCTTACCACTATTCCTATCTAGGCTTTGGAACAAAGACCCCAAAAGTGAGAGAGTTAGCCCTAAAAATACTTTGTCCACTCTGATGCCATGATGTCAAGAGTGTGAAATGACAGACCAGGCATAGGAGATGACCACCTGACAGCCACAAAACCCAGTCCTTCCTGTCCCAGAGTATCTCCCTCCTCCCACACCTCGCTCTTCAGTCTCATCATTACCACTGTCAATTGAATAATCCTGGAATCCTGGTAGTTGCTTCCATTTGTGTGTTTACAGAAGGTAGTCTGCTGTGCTGGGTTAATTTTTAAAAGTTATCAAGCACCAACTGTGCACCAGGCACTGTTCTAGGTACAGCAGTGAACAAAACGACAAAAATCTCAGTCCTGAAACTTACATTCCAGTGGGAAAGACATTCAAAAAACAAGATAAAATATATAGCATGCTATGAGAAATACATACAGCATGAAGTGAAAATGCAAGAAGCAGGCAAAGGAGAAATGCACTGTAGTGGGTGGGATAGGAAAGGTTGTAATTTTGAGATAAAGTGGTCAGGAAAGAATTCACACAAAATCAGGTAGATGGTGTACGCCTACAAGGAAAACCAAGGCAAAATTTAGGCTGATTAGAGTCAGGACCAGAAGATATTTTAACAAGCCCGCCCCCCCAAGTGGAGAGGAAACCATATGAGAGGGAGGAGAGAGACAAAGACAGAATACAGACCACCCAGACAGATACATATCTCACATTTTGCCTAAGATCAGTTCTTTAATCATGGCACAATACACGTTCTCCTTCTATAGACAAGAAACCAGGCTCTGCTGCTAAAACTCTCAGGCAGAGAGAGGAGAAAGCACACATCGATAGCGCGCGCACACACACGCACACGCACACACACACACACACACACGCCCTCCGGTAACAGCTTAATGCCGAGGAGGAAGCCTTCTGAATCCAGACTCGGGTATCGGCCTGGGAAACTGGGCAGAGAGCGGGGAGTTGTTGAAAGAACACACCAGAGGCCCCAGAGGCCCCTCCACGCCGGAACACTAAAGGAAACCTCTCCCCCTCCCGACGCCAATCTGCAAACCCAGGGAGGCACGGACAAGCGCACGGACACACCCCCGGGGGTGCAGACCCGGTGCAGGCGAGGAGAGAAGGCAGCAATTCAACCGTTAGGGCCCCAACCCCAGGCTTTTACGAGGCAGGGTGGGAGCGCGCGCGGGAAATGCTGCTCTCCCCCCAGGAGCCGGCGGGCGGGTCCCGGGGGCCTGCGGACGGACGGCGTGCGGGCCTGGCCGCCACGGGAGGCGGGGGCGGCTGCCGCGGGCATCCAGAGCGCCCGGCCGGCTTCGTGCATGCAACAGGGGGCTGGAAGCGAGCGGGAGCCTCGAGGTGCCGCGGCGGGACCGGGCTGCGGGGAGCGGGACAAAGTTCCCGAGACCCAAGGGCCCCGGCCCGGCCCGCGCGCCCCGCTGCCCAAACGCTCGCCGGCCGGGCCCCTCGGAGAGCGGCGGGTTCCAGCGGTCGAATCCGCAGCGCCCGCGCCGCCGCCCGCTCGGCCCTTTGCCGCCAAGTGCGTGGGTCTCAGAGAGAAAGAAAGCGCGGCGGCGGCGCGCGGCCCCACTCACCATGATCCGCGGCGACCCGGGCGGCGGGCGATGCGCTGTCCAGGGTAGCCAGAGTCCCTCTGCTGGGCGCTCCCCCCGGCGCCCGCTCTACTTACTCCCACCCACACCCACGCCCGGCGCGCGCACGCCCGCCCGCCCGCGCCTCCCCGCCCCCTCGGGCTGCCGCCGCGGCCGCGCGGCGCTCCGAGCCTCAGGGCCGTTTCGTCCACTCTCTCCGCCCCCACGGGGGCCTCTCCGGCCGCAGCGCGAGGAGGGCGCGCGGGGGAGGGGGCGGAGCAGGCGAGGCGGCGGCCCCTGCCCCCGCGACCTCGCGCGTTCCCTCCCGGGCACCTACTACATTTCTCGCGAGGCCGCGGTGCCCCCTGCCGGCGGGGCGGTGATTTGCAGGCCCAGCCGGCTCGGGTTGCACGCGGCCGCTCAACGTTCGCAGAACTTCAGACCCACCCGCCGCCCGGAGAGGCGGCTACTGCAGGGATAACCGTGGGGGGTGGGGGAACGGCAGGGAGGACAGGGCACTGGCCCTGCTGTTTGTTAAGCGGGCTTCGTGGTCTCGAAGCATATATTACGGGAGAACGGCTCTTGCTCATTCAGGTTTGCAGGACCTGGGTGTTTAGCTCTGTAGGATGGGCTGGTTTCTTTGGGGATGAGGTCCAGAGCGGGTCGGTACCAACGGTTCTGAGCAGGAGCTCGGCTCACGCGAAGCTTCCTCCAAAGGGAAGCTTCTTCCCTTATTCCAGGGGCTTCCAGCTAATGTCGCCACCCAGCTGTTGGTTAATTCAGCACCTGGCTGCGAACCAGTGCACGGTATCTTACTTAGATCTTGGGCTTTTCATTTTATTATGCGGGGTACGAGGGGCAAGAAAAAGACACTGGAAAAGGTAGACTTGTGTGACTGTTATATGACCTTTCCTCTTTCTTAGCCTTCAGACTGCGTACCTGTTTTTTGTGAGGCTGATGTGATAAACTTGAATACAAAGATGAACACGTTTGTTGGAGTTGAGAATGCCACGTCAGTGCACAGAGGTACCTGCACCATACACTTAGCATCCTGCACCTGAGGTGGTGTGCACGTACTTACAGAGTTTTGTAAAGTAGCAGAGTGAGTAACTATAGGTGCCAGGTCATGTAATCCACCTCATATTTAGAGTTTTCTATATAGAGTTGGAGTTATCACTGTCCGATATATATTTGATTATAAGGAGTGAATGACTTCATGGTCATGAACAGTTAAGTATTTGTTAACCAAGACTTGTGAAAAAAAATCTCAGGAGTCAGCTCTGCAATGTATTGGCTATGTGGTATTGGGTTAGTTACCTAAACTCTCTGCCCTGGTTTCCTGATCTGTAAAATCGGCATGAAATAGTACTTATAGTACATGCTGTTAAGATGAATCAAATAGTAAAACTCTAGAAAAATATCTGATGCAAAAGTACTAGTTATTAATTAAAGCTTGTGAGAATGAGGAAGTGATGTCTGCACATTTTTATAAATAGTGTCCAGAGGGCCCAAATCAAATAATATAATTTGATTCCAATTTCATTGATTCCCTTCATTCACTCAACAAATATTTGAGTGCCTACTATAGGCTAGGCATTATGGTAAGAGCTGGGTCACAGTGATGACCAAAAACACAATCCCTACCACTAGGAGTTTCAGACTGTGTAATGAACTATATTATGATACCTAGAGACTGGAAGGAAATTTATGCAAATATTTACCAAATACTAAGTGTTTTTCCCTTGAATAATAGTATTTTGGGGTGTTTCTTTCTTTTTAAATTTTCACATTTTAAATATTTTACATGTATTAGTTTACATTTTTAAAGCTATAAAAATAGTTTCCACATTCTTTGGTTATTGAAATATAAAAATCCTGGGCCAGGTAGGATTCATGCCTATAATCCTAGCACTTAAAGGAGGCTGAGGGGGGAAGATCACTTGAGGCCAGGAGTTAAAGACCAGCCTGGGCAACATAGTAAGAACTTGTCTTTACAAAGTCTTTTTTAAAGAAAATTAGTTGGATTTGGTGGCACATCTGTAATCCCAGCTACTTGGGAGGCTGAGGCAGGAATTTGAGGTTGCAATGAGCTATGATGACACCACAGCACTCTAGCCTGGGCAACAGAATGAGGCCCTGTCTCAAGAAAAAATTACAAACTATAAAAATCCTGGATCTGGGTTTTGTTGTATCATTAATCCGATGTAGTAGAATGTGAGTTTTTAATCTAGATCGGTGATTTTCAATCGATGCGGCACACTGGTGTGCCTTGAAAAGTGTTAAAGATCATTAATTAAATTATTTTCAAAAGAAGTTCAAAGCACGGTAAATATATTTTTTTATTCTTTTTTTAATCAACATAATTTAAGTGTGTTAAAAAATGTATAGGTTCAGGTATGCCATGAGATAAAAAAAGGTTGAAAAACACTGATCTACATAGTGATTCTCAGACATGATTGTGTATAAATTGTACCCATGGATTTAATACAATGCAGAGATACCTGGGACCTAGTCAAGTAGTTTCAGGCACAGACCAGGAATATAATTTTTTAACAAGTACCACCAATGGTGCTGATGTAGGTAGTGATCCATAGACCACATTTTTAGAAACACAATTCCATCATCTACTCAGGGAAAATTTTAATTTATTTTTCTAACATAAAGGGAAACATGTAAAAATTGTTGACAGCCAGCCACCCAGCACTGTGCTACTGTTTGCCTGCAGGAATTGTATCACTGAAGTTATCTATACCTTGCAAAGCATACCAGGTTAACATGGAAGGAACTCTTATGCTTTGAATGATTCCTATACTTCCATGTTACCATTTATCCTGATAATTGTTATTTTAATTTTTTACCTAAAAATGCATATCAACATAGAGGCCCAGAAGGAGGTCTAAGAAGTCACCCATATCTTAGCTATTTCTTAGAATATTATTCCCTGTCACTACAATAAAGGAACAAAGGAGACAGTGTATGCCGGAGGGTCTTTTTTTCCCTACAAATATTTCATTAAATTTGAAAAGAAAGTGATTCTTCCTCTAAAAACACAGGACTGGGAAAGTTCCTTAACTATAAATAACTGGTAAAGAGTATTAACTAGATATAACATGACTTTCTACTTATTTGTAATTAGAAGTATTTGAATATGCCATCATGAGCATGCCTTTATAATATTCCCTTCCTTTCATTAGTTATTCTCTTGTATGGATTACACAAAAGTTGGAATCTGCTTGTATTTCTTAGCTGTAGGGCAAGCCCTTATTCAGCATGTGTACAATAATAGAATTATAGACTAATCATGTATTAGGTACTTAGGTGGATGTGGCACTATATAAAGTGATTGTTAGCATAATCTAAGAATCTTAAGCCTAAAAACAGAGGTCAGACTCACTTCCTCTCTCTCTCCCCACCCCCTTATGTTTTACAGGTGAAGAAAGTATATCTCAGAGGAGTTAGAGAAGACCAACAGCTAAGAGATGATAGTGCTAAAGTCAGGACTTCGGAATCCTGGGTGAGTATCCTCACTGTCCTTACTTCCTCTCCAGTGCTGGCCTTCCAGCTCCCATCAGAATTGAGAAGTGGCAAACTGTGTTTTTTGTGTCTTCCCTCCTTTGTTCTAAAGCATCATTTTGTTTGATATCTAACATCTTTGTGTTTTATCGTGAGAAAATGCCCATCTAAAATCTGCTGTGGCTCTAAATCAATCTCTTACTTTTCTTCAAAGTATTTATACCTTTAGGGTGATAGTAGAAAGACTCTGGGAATCACATCCTTTCCTTGGCCAGGTACTCAGCTTTGTATAACGTATGCTCTGCACCTATGAGTTTAGAAATGAAAAATAATAAGATGAAGAGTAAACCAAGACAAAGGCACAGTGACACAACTGAACTCCATTCTTTAAATGTAGTGCTTCTTTTACTCACTATTATCAAGATTAAGGATTTATGACAAAGCAATATAACAAGTAGACAATCAGGTAAAAAAAAGATTTATGTTTATCAAAAATACTATGCTACGTACTGTGTGGTAGGGCAACATTCTAGAGCAGGGGTTGCACAGAGCATGACTTGGAGGAAGCACTTTAAAGAGGATGGTCAGGAAAGGCCTTTCTAAGATGATAATACCAACTTGAGATCCCAGTGATGAAAACGAGCCAGTCCATGAAGCCATGAGGAGATCTAGGGGGAATCCGTCCAGGAAGAGAAAATAGCAAATGAAAACATTCTGAGACAGGGGCCTCTTTGAGGAAGAAGAAGGTAGCCAATGTGTCTGGAAGCCTGAGTCGGGTTGTAGTGAGGATGTAAGTCCATTATCTCTCTAGCCCAGTGGTTCTCAACCTTCCTAATGCTGGGATGTACTTTCATTGTTACAAAGGGGTCACGACCCACATGTTGAGAACCCCCGCCCTAGCCAGTTCTTGTGGATAAAGGTCCATGTGTTGCTGACACCATGGCCAGCAGCCCCTGCCCTGAGGGCCTACAGTGTAGGAACCTGGTCCTGGCAGGGCATTCTCATGTGATGTCTACCAGTCAGCTGCTGCCATACCAGTTCAGAAAACCTTATGGGGCCATTACTTTTTACTCTTACAGACGTTTGGGTTTATCTTTCATCTTTTTGTTATGCTGATTTAACTGATCTTACTCACACATCCATTCAGTTAATCATTTTGTCTTTAATATGTGCTATTTTACTTAAATTGTATGTATTGATTTCCTTTTAATTTTTTTTTTTTTTTTGAGACGGAGCCTCAAGCTATCCCCCTGGGTAGAGTGCCATGGCATCACACTCACAGCAACCTCCAACTCCTGGGCTCAAGCGAGTCTCCTGCCTCAGCCTCCCAAGTAGCTGGGTCTACAGGTGCCTGCCACAACACCCGGCCATTTTTTGGTTGTAGCCATCATTGTTGTTTGGTGGGCCTGGGCTGGGGATTCGAACCTGCCACCTTAGGTGTATGTGGCTGGCGCCTTAGCTGCTTGAGCCACAGGCACTGAGCCATTCCTTTTAATTTTTTAAAGAAATTATTTTTATGGCAAGTAGTATGGACATACAGTAGATAGCCTATTTCACAAGGATGGTGGAGAGTCATAATCCCTTGGTGTGACCTGTATATAGTAGCCTATCTAACCCACACCATAGAGTGACTGTTTCTTTCTCAGGTGTATTGTCCAAGATTAATCCCAGGTAATTGTCTTCTAGCCTGTTTCTGCTGCAAACCTACTGTGCACTAAACTAGAAGCCTAGAAATCAACCGAGGAAGGAGAGAAAGTGCTGATAAAATCCAAACATTCAGATCTCAAGGAGGGCACAGACTTCCCCTTTCCATTCCCCATTCTACGTGTGACTATGTCACTATGTGACGGTGTGTGTTGGGGGGAGAGTGAAACCACACATTCTCCCCTCTAGCAATACTCATACCTCAATATTCATGAGAGTAGTGTAAATTAGAGACTAGATTAATGCCTTATAATTAATGATTTTAAAGCTTATGATTTTCTGGCCTATAGTTAAAACTGGGACAGAAGTAATATTTATAATTTTATTGTAAATCATTGAAGATGTTCATGTGAATGTAGGAGGTGGTAAAATTTACATGGATGCAGAAAATTTAATAGACACCTCTCCTGACTTCTTGCTTTATCTCAGACTGATTTGCACTGCATTTTCTTTCTATTGTCTTTAAGAATAAAAGATATTCAATATTAGCACCATACAGTCAAAAATATACTCAAATTTTTTTCAACTCCATCTAAATTAAGTTTAAAGGAACATAAATGTGGTAGAAGAGATCAGGGCAATATAAAGTAGCTAGAAGATATAGTCTTATTAAAAATAGCTAGTATATTATTATGTTTGTTCTAATTGGTATTCAATGAGCATATAAAACAAGAACAATGTCAATGGTTAACCTTTCATTTTTCTAGGAAATTGGCAAATTAACCTTATAGAGAACTCAGAGATGAGGAACCTAAATTAAGTTCAAGAGCACAGGTTTCGCTTGGTGCCTGTAACTCAGTGGTTAGGGCCCAGCCACATACATCGAGGCAGGCAGGTTTGAACCTGGCCCCAGCCTGCTAAACAGCAATGACAACTATAACAACAAAAAATAGCCGGATGTTGTGGTGGGCGCCTGTAGTCCCAGCTACTTGGGAGGCTGAGGCAAGAGAATCCCTTAACCCCAAAGGTTTGAGGTTGCTGTGATGCCAGGCACTCTACTGAAGGCAGCATAGTGAGACTCCGTCTCAAAAAAAAAAAAAAAAAGGGTGTGTTTCAATCATATGTAGTATTATAACCTAAGCAACTTCTTCAACATCTGGGAAACAGACTAAAGGGATCTCGTAATTAGTCCAGAAGTCATAGTAGGCAGCCTCAGTGTATAACCTCATGATTCTTTCAGGTCAGCTGTGATACTTACAGGTAACTATTGGGTGTCTAATAGTAGCCCAAAACCATGCTAGGTGACTTATAACTGTAGCTCATGTAATCCTTCCTACACTCCTGTGACTAGCCCCATTGTACAGATGAGGAACCTAAGGCTCACAGAGATTAAGTAATATACACAGCGTCACATAGTTAGGCAGTTGGAAAGTGGAGAAGCCTGTTAGGTTCTTTCCATAACACCTTGCCATTTGGAATAATCCTATCTGTAAGAATCCTTTATAAACTGGGCAAAGAAACTTTCTGCAGGCCATTTATTCACTTGAGGGTCAACTGCTTATATGACATGGGTCCACAGTGCATCTAGAAGAGTTTCACAGCATTGGCAGAAGGGTAGGGTTGAAGCAGAAGGGACAGTACTGTCCAAGTGGCTTAAAGACAACCTTCAAGGATCTATAGATTAATTTTACAGTTACAATGAAAGGGGAATCCTTATGATGAAGGATCTAAAATGTAAATTCATGTCACTGGTCCTCCTTCTAGACTTTAATGAGTATTAAAGTCTAAAAGAGCAGATGAAGAGTGAACATTCCAGTGATTTTATTTTTTTCTTAATTATGGGAAATTCTAAACATATACAAAAGTAGACAAAGTAATAATGAACCCCAATGCATCCATTAATCATCTATCTTTAGAATTATCAACTCATGGCTCGGCACCTGTGGCTCAAGTGGCTAAGGCACTGCCAGTACACCTAAGGTGGCGGGTTTGAATCCAGCCCGGGCCCACCAAAACAACAATGATAGCTGCAACCAAAAAATAGCCAGGCATTGTGGCGGGCGCCTGTGGTCCCAGCTACTTGGGAGGCTGAGGCAGGAGACCCGCTTGAGCCCAGGACTTGGAGGTTGCTATGAACTGAGATGCCACAGCACTCTATCCAGGGGGATAGCTTGAGGTTCTGTCTAAAAAAAAAGAATTATCAACTCATGATGAAACTTATTTTATCTATATACCTACTTCCTACTTCCCCACATTGTTATTTTGAGCAAAGCCCCGAAAATAATTTATCTGGAAATACTTTAGTATGTATCTTTAAAGACAAGAATTTTTTTAAAAACATAATCACAATACTATTATAACACAGCTTAAAAGTTAGCCACAATGAGCGTACAACTTTCCAGTTATGTCTTCTAAGTCTCATTTAATCTCTACCTTTATCTCTTTTTGTTTTCATGCAATTTATTTGTTTGCACTATAGAATTTCCAACAGGCTGGATTTTCTTGATGGCATTCTGCAGTGCAGTTTGGTAAGTGTTTCGTATTTTTATAAATTAGTAAGCATAACAGGTTTTCGTGGCTTGATCAGAGTCAAGTTAGGATTTTTTTTGATAAGAGCACTTCATAGGTGTATAGTGTGTTTTTCTATCAGGAAGCACCTAATACCTGACGATCCATTTTTTTTTTAAAGTAAATTTATTTTAGGCTAATGTGAGGGTACAAACAACCGGGTCAGACCCATTCTTATTATGAAGTTTAGGCAGCAGCTAATGCTCAATGCTTGCATCCACTGACGAATTAGGGCCTGCAAAATTGTGATAGTTTAGTTCCACATTCCTTTTTCATTTATTAGCTGGAATACTTTAAAGAGAAACTTCATCTCATACACTTTTTGGTTCCTTCTTGGGTACAGTTCATATAGGGAAGAGAGGCTAAACGTCAGTTGTAAAATAGTTCATTGAACAATGTGAGAATGTGAAGAGCAGGTTCAAAATTTAGACATGAAGATAGGCTGAGCATAAACAGCATTTGGAAACACTCGTGCTGACTGCCAACATCAATAATGCCATGTTAACAGTTGTTGCCCAACTTGTTTTTTACATCTTTCATGTTCCAAATGAAAATGGGGTAACTCTTTCCAAGAATTTTTTTTTTATTTATATAAGCTTGGAAAAGGAAAAATATTAACAGAAAGCTTTAAATGATTGGTCCTTTCCAAAAGGATAGGTCAGAGTTCAGGAGAGTGAGCCATGATGAACTTTTTGAGTAAAATCTTATTTGGTGACCTCATTAAAATAGCTGGGTGGAAAAGTACCTCTGATGGTGATGGTAAGACGGAATAGTGTCTGTCTCTAATCCGTAAGCAGTTCTGTTAAAGCTAAATCTATAATTATTTCTCTTAAGACTTCAGTTTAGTTCAGTATTTACCTTCAAATGTGAATTCTAAATGCCGTCACCGTTTCTGTCACATAGTAGAGATTTGGCAAATATTTGAGACAGACTGACCCTTTGTTTTATTTACCCCAGGCCATCCACAGTTTCTGTGTCATTGTAAAGAGATTCATTAGATTGAAATGTCTGTGCAAAGTGTATTATTTGTATTAGCTAATGGAAATGAAGTTCCTGAATCAATGGTAATTTAATAACATCATTTGTATAAACAACACTGTGAAAGAACTATGGCCATAACTCTTTCGGGGCCTACATCATGCCAGAACTAAGATGTTTGCAAAAACTCTGACACACAGTTCCAGCTATGACAGAGACCAGACACATATG